GCAAGGACAAAGCTCAACACTCAAGTTTGAAATGACGGAAGAACTGGCATTAATAATGTTGATGCCAAATTTTATTTCGCAAGCAGAATATTCTACAGTAAATTGTTAGGAATTAATCACACTATCATTCACATTTCAAAATATGAGTTAACTTAAAGATTAAAAATGTAGACTTACCGTATGTTATTGCTGAGTGGCTCTTAGCATGACTGAAATGCTCAACAATTACTTTTCGCGGTGGGTGGTATAAGTAGCTCAGAACTTTGGCTTTGAGTGAAACCAAGAGTGTAACACAATTAATCTTTTTAAAAGTCCATGAAATAATTTAAATTGATAAATTAACTTAAACTTCCCACTCACTGGGGACGGGTACCTTTACTTGTCTACAATAAACAAATATCATCGCATTTTCTTTGTAATATTGTTCTTCTGAACATTCAATACTTTGAATAGTTCTGTCCACGGATTGACACTTTAACTATTTTAAAGTAGAATTAAATAGTAATAAAGATTCAATGTAAGATTCGTATTAAAAAGGAAAAACATAAACAATTTTTGATAGTTGTGACACATGGCGTTTTACCTTCACCTTCGGCCCGGCATGGCCAGGTGGTTAAGGCACTCGACTCGCAATCTGAGGGTTCGAATCCCTGTCACACCAAACATGCTCGCCCTTTCTGCCGTGAGGGCTTTATAATGTGACGGTCAATCCCACTATTCGTTGGTAAAAGAGTAGCCCAAGAGTTGGCGGTGGGTGGTGATGACTAGCTGCCTTCCCTCTAGTCTTACACTGCTAAATTAGGTACGGCTAGCGCAGATAGCCCTCGTGTAGCCTTGCGCGAATTTCAGAAACAAACAAACAAACAAAACCTTCACCTTCTCACTGTTTGACAGTTTAATGTAAACCAAAATACATTTTTTTTCTATTATTCCTTTCTATGAATAACCAATAAAAATAGGGAAGTAAGTATAGGTACTTAGAATGATTTCCTCGTTAAAATTAATGAACATACCATAGTTATCGCTAAATAAGAAATGTGTTTTTTGTCAATAACTAGGTTGGTCAGTATCTATTATCATGTATTTTAACCCTTATTTACACTCAAGTGTCTCTAAGATCCTACAATGCC